TTTTTTTTTTTAAAAAAAAAAAGAAATCGGCAAGTTTCGTAATAAAAAAAAACAAACAAACCGAAAATATTCTTCTTTGAATCTTTCTGACAAAAAAAAAAATCACACGAGAGTTCTTTGTTAAAAAGATGCTTTTTTTATATATAAACATCACATTTTTTTTATATAAAAAAACAATAGACTTTAATATAATAAAGAAAAAACTTTAAATCCTAATTCTGAAAACAATAGCAAAATTTAAGTTCTTTTATGTACGGGTTAACTTGGCTTAACTTGTACATTTGTGGCGTCCTTATTATTAAAAAATATTTCAATTATATAAAAATATCAGGTTATATAAATTGTTTCAATTGTTTGCAAATAAAGGAGTTTACAAATATTACAAATATTTGAAATGAAAAATATTTGATGATAAGGGAATTTTTTTTTTTCAATCGGTTAAAAGCTAATCATTGTTTCCGATATTTCGGCTACTAATAGGAATGGGAATTTTAAAAAGGCCAAAAAATCTTCATAACAATGTATTGAGTTCAACTGATTATGTGGCGCAGAAATTTCTTTTAAAAAAAATATAATGAATATAATATAATGGATTCTTTATTATAATAATAACATTTTTTTTTTTTATATGATATCATAATTTAATCATAATTTTAAATTTCATTACGTAACACAAACGTTTAAACCCTTTTTTTAAAAAATGGTTTTTTTTTTTGTACAGTAGATTGATTATCTATATTGAAATATATCTTATCAAACTCAATTGTTTCGTGCATGCAATCGTGTAAACGTGTATGCGCTTTTATTTATAAATCTGAATATAATAGGAAGAAATGGATTCTTTTGGCAAAAAAGAAGAGTGTTACTAAACAAGCTTCCACGCAGTCGTCATTAATATGGAATAAAAAAATGCAAAGACGCATTGATGTAACAACTAATTCTCTTACTTTGAAAAAATGACTAAGTTCGATTGTTCAAATGGGTGATACAAAATGTACACGATCTGCACTCACGGACAAAGAGGTACCCCCAACAATTGTGCCATCATTTTTTTGCCATTTCAAGCCATTTTTTTATCACCTCTTTTTTTTTTAAAACTCCTTCTTTTACAGAAAATTCGAGGATTTCCATAATAGAATACTCACGATACTCACGATACTCACGATTTTTATGATCTCTGATTAACTTTACTTTAAATATATAATATTTACTTCAGTTAATATTATTTTTTTTATGCATAATGACTATTGTATTACCCATTTAATTGGCGTAAATTTCATATAACAATCAAGTTTTTTCTTTTTTCTTAAATAAATGGCTTAAAGAAAAGAACTATAGAATTATCATTGTTCTAAATATTTCTATATTAGTAATGACCTATATTTAAAGAATATTACAAATTACGTGTTTACTTGTTTGTAGAGGAACACTTCATAATAATGATGTTTACCTTATTAATCTCCGGTACAATATATTATTATTATTATTATTATTATTTAAATAACATAAACTGATTATTTTTTCGATGGCTGTGTTTTCTCCTAATTTTGGTATATCTTATTTTCGTTTCACAAAAAAAATTGCTTTTGTTGGATTTTTTCGTTCAGGGGGAAAAAGATTAAACAAGAAAAAAAATTCCTATAAATATACAGGTATTTTTTTCTTTTTCAAAAAGTTTTTTAAATTTTTTTTCGATTAAAATTAATCTGTAAATAAATAAATAAACAAATAATATATATATATACACACACTCAAATTATTTTAACAAAAATGCTAACATATAGTCGTCCAAGAATACCACACCAAAGATTGCCATCATTGATACACCATCGTCATCATGCATCACTTACAAACACTGATTATGATATGATAATTTATGTTGGAAATGAACCTTCAATTAGAACTTTCCATGCACACTCTGAAATTCTAAGAAATCAATCTTCTTATTTTCTTGCTGCATTATCAAGTAGATGGATACAACGTGAGAATGGTATGATAATCTTTCGTAAACCAAATATTTCTCCCGAAGTGTTTGAAGTCATTTTAAGGTAATTATTATTTTATATTATTATCATAATTTATTTAAATAATTTATTATATAATCTGATATAATTCAATCTTTATTAACATCATAAAATTTTCTAGTTTTTGTTATACCGGTCAAGCAAAATTACAAGATAAAGATGGCGCATTCGTGATCGAACTTTTGGTATCGGCCGATGAAATGATTCTCACTTCTTTAACTAGTTATATTCAAAAAAATTTTACCACCGCGCAATTATCATGGTTACAAGATAATTGTTTAGAAATAACTCAATTTGCCTTTCAATATCCATCATTTCAAGCTTTACAAAATGTTTGTTTAGAAACTATTTGTGATAATCCTTCAATATTATTTAAATCATCAAAATATTCTTCTTTTGAATCAACTATATTATTAGGTTTACTTCAACGTAATGAATTAAATATATATGAAGTGGAATTATGGGAACATATTATTAAATGGGGTATTAATCAAAATCCTAATGTTTCAAAAGATCCTAAATCATGGAGTGCACGTGATGTTAAGGCCGTTGAAAATTCCATAAAAGAATATATACCTTATATTAGATTTTATAATATGACTCAATCAGAATTTCAACGTTACGTTTGGCCTTATAAATGTCTTATTCCTATTGAGATATATGATTCTATAATGACTTACTTTTTAATGCCATTCAAGAGAGTTCAACGTTTGATACCACGAGGTAATGGTGCTCAATCTCGTTTAATTAATTGGGATCATTTAAAATACATTTGTGGATGGATTGATCAAAGTAATTCTTATCCTATCGATAAATTACCATATCGTTTTGAATTGTTAATGAGGGGTAGTAGGGATGGTTTTACTTCTGAATCTTTTCATAATTTATGTGATAATATTAAAGGTACCATCGTTATAATGAAAGTATCAGGTACTGATGAACTCTTGGGTGGTTATAATCCACTTACTTGGAATATTAATACTGATGGAAGTACAATGAATAGTTTTATATTTTCCTTTAAAAATGGACAATCTAATAATCCTTGCGTTAGTTATATACAAAGAAAATTTTTCAAAAATGCTATTTATAAATTAAATAGTGATATAGAAGTAATTAATTTTGGTAATGGTGATTTAAGATTAGATTGTAATTTTAATGAATCTTTCTCTTGTAGTGCTAGAAAAAATTCTTATGAATTTAATATAAGAGATGATTCATCAAGTTTTTGTGTTGAAAGTTTTGAAGTATTTAAAATTATTAATAGGAATGAATAATTTCAATTATTATAAAGGATTATTTTTTTTGTAATTATATAAGGTAATTAATACTGTATAAAAAAAAAAAAAGAAAATTAGATAGATCAAATCGAAAACTTTACTTACTTTACTTGATCGATTCAATTTTTATGACCGGACTAAATATTTATCTGTGTAATATTTTTTTTTTTTTTTTTTTTTTGGAAT